GAAGACGACGCAGTCGATGAGAGAGACGGGGCCGAGGATCATGGTGGTGATGGGATGCTCATAGCGGTTTTCCTATTTACGATGTTTGTATATTTCGAGGCATGAGATGATGAGAATTGAAGTGGAAAGCAAGAGAATGAAGAGGAATATTGAAGAAAAGAAATGACTTGGTATGTGAAAGATAGTAATGTACAAGGAGATAAGAAGAAAAGTGTAAAGAGCGTCAATGAGTGAGTGAGAAGTTGCATGAAGAAAATGGACATGAAGGAATCAAGAACGGCTGACCGACCGGTGCAGTGCAGAGAATAGATAGAAGAGTCCTGGACTTTTTTGGGTAAAATTCAACAAAAATTAAGTCTCGGGACGGAAAGCAAGGGATTGGGGGGGTCCGCGCAGATTACAGCAAATCTGGGGTGAAATATTAAGGGTCAAAAATAATCCTCCGAGTTTTGGCCTTCCACCCGACCCCCGGCTGCTCGATTAAGAAGGAGACCCCGGATTGTGTAGTGTTATTGGTGGCTCAGGATGGGTACTAGGTAAGTAAATAAAGTGGTCTTTTTGCTGTTGTGATGAATCATGTGTTTATGCTATGGAGCTTGTGATTTGTAGTGAGTTAGGTAGGTAATAGTTTGGTAGACGTGGGTGGCTTGGGCACTGTTTGTGTATGAGGCGCGGAGGATGGGTTTTGAGGCGTCGCCTTTACTATATGAATGATGAACAGAAGACATACTCGTATGGAGTGAGTCCGTTATCTTTGCTGGTTACACTCCTGGGGCAACTTGACCAATTGCGAGTACGAGAAGGCCAGGTTTCGCTTCTGATGCGTTACATAATACGAGAGCGGATGGTTCCCGTCTTTTCAAGGCTCAACCATGCCGTGTCATTGGTCGGCATCACCCCCTGTCAGGCTGGACGGAATAACCGCCCTCTTCTTGGGCTGTCACCACCGTTTGTCCGCGGCTTCAACCAGTTGAATCGAACGCTGCCTGCATCGGATTGCTTCTCAAGCAGAGAGCACCAGAAGAATACAATGGGGGACCAGAGCTCTCTGCAGCGCGTTGAGGATGCGCCGTTTCCGTTGACCGAGGTGGACAAGTGGGTGCTTTCGCAGACGGATGAGGAGTTTAAGCTTCACGACTGGGAGGGCCTCAGGCACATCATCGGTGTGTGGATTCAAGCTTTGTCTGTGTTCTGTGCTTGTCAAGAGACGGCGGTGTTGTGATTTATCTGTATGAAAGCTGACGATATATGGTGGCTCACAAGAGACAAATGACCTCGGTGCCTTGAAGAGAAAGCCCTCGGATCTCCGCCGCTACATGGCCTGGACCGCAGAGATCAAAGCGCAGTACGGCAGCATGACCCAGTACATCCTCCAGCACCGTCTACCCAAGGCTTGGGGCCAGCCGCCGTTCACGCCCGAGTCCGAGATACCCTTTGCCGCCGCCTCCGACTACAAGGTCCTGCTCAACGATTGGCCGTATGGATTGGCGCCGGGAATCACGCACATCGTCGTCTGGTCTCGCACGCAGATCCCAACCGACCCCGACTCGGGCGACCTGACGCCCGAGAGCAGGGCGCAGGTGGAGAGGTTCGTCAAGGAGTACTTTGTCGATGCGCTCGGGCCGGGAGGGGAGGATAAGGTGCTCTGGTTTAAGAACTGGGTCGCCCTGCAGAGCGTGCGGACTCTGGAGCATTTCCATGTCATGGTTCGTGATGTCGGCGATGATGTGCTGGAGCGGTGGACGGGAGAGCGGCCTCGACGGGACGCAAAGTGATTTTCTTCTTCTTTTCGATAGACGCTAGACACCTGATTTGTACAACTCTTGAATAGACAGCTCTCGATAGATTTGACATATCCTCCGCAACATCTATGCAGTCCTTCGTGATCGACGGTTTCCCTGTGGTGCGGCGTTGCCGGCGTTTCCCCCATCCTGCATCTGAGCCAGCGCATTCTTGCCCATTCCCAACAATCCGTAGCCCATGTATGCGCCGTACGCAGGGACAACGCTGAACAGAATCCAGCCCCAGTTCCCAAACAGGATGACGGCCACGAGGGACGCCCACGTCACCCAGATGACGTCGAACATGTACTCCGTCAGGCCGGCGGCCGCGAGGTCCTCGCCCGACGTCTTGAGGGCGCCCGTCGCGGCATCGTACTTGGGCCGGCCGGACGTCTCGAGGATGTACTCGCAGATGAAGCTCGGGAGGGAGAGGAGGGCGTAGGCGAGGAGGGAGCGGGATCGGAAGAGGAAGTTGGAGAGGAGGAAGAGCGCGTGGACGATGAGGGACGCCGCGTTGGATTTGGCGCGGTCCTTCTTTGCCTTTTGAGCCATTGCGTGCTTTGTGAGCGAGTGGTTGGGTTCGAACGAGGCAATGGAATAGTATGAAGGATTGGGGTTCCGCACAAGGTCCAGCTTTGTTGGTGAGATCTGGTTTCTTCGACAGCTTCAAGCTTTGGCGCGGAAAAGTTGGGGTTTGGAGGGGTGTGGCGCTCTTGTGTGGCGTGCAGTACCTTGGCTGGTGAATCGGAGCACGTTCAATGTCACCCGACAGCACCAGATGGACGTCGTCACTGCCCGGCTAGCGGCTCAACGCCGGCGGGCTACAGTGGGCTGCCCGCTGTAACTGCCCGCCTACGTATCCCTCCCTGTTGCTAGGCAATGGCGGTGCCGTCGCGCCCTGGAAGCAGCCCGAACCATTGACACCAACAACAATTTGTGACCGCTTGGCTTGCGCGCCGCGACTCGGCAGAAAAGTTGCAACCTCTCACGCTCCCTCCCTCGCCCTTCGTCTTGCGAGCTGCGGCGCGAATCCCGGATCCGAACTCGAAGCCACGACGCTGAACATATACCTTTCAGGCTGCTGGAGCGCAGAGGCGGGCGAATCTGCGTCTTGTTCAGGAGTCTGTTCATCATTCTTCCCTTCTCGGAGCGCCGCCTAAGCTTTCTATTCACGCTCGCTACGATCCGCCATTCCATTCCACCCGCGGCACCTTTTCTTCTCTTTTTCTCTTAGCACGGCTCGACACTCTCAGCGCTCTTGTATTCATTGCGACGGCATACTGAACCGACGACGAGAGGCTGCAGATTGACGGACGGAGCGCCTCACAGCTGTGCATGTGCCGTGCCTCACCACCATTGTCGGCTATCGTGACCCGAGCCTCTCCGTTTTGCGCCCGCTGGCCGCCTCGCTTCCGCGCTATCAATCATACTATACATACGAACATATTTTCTCCTCTGCCGACCTTTCTTCCCGAAGCCTTTCCGCGACATCTCATCATCACCGGTGCGGCACGACCTGTCCGAGCAGTCCAACGGCCCGGCCGCTGCCCCTCTGTCATCTTGGGTCTTTCGAAGCCAACCAAGCGTCTCATGGCCCAGATACATCGGTGACGACCTTGCCAGTCTTCCGCGACTCTTACAAAAACCACCAGGATGGCGCCCAATCCGACCGCTGTCGGGAGCCTCC